ATTATGAGACGAGGGAAATAAAACAAAAAAGGCAAATGGGAAAGAGGAAAAAACTGTATCTCTTTTGCCACAACCAGGATAGGTAAGAGCCTGAGAGTACAAAGGAGGCAATGATGCTGAGGTCCCCTCCTCCCCTTGGCTTAAAAGCTAGGAGCTGGCTCGTGTCCTTGAGGCACAGCTACTCTCTGAGCAGCTTTTCTGTCCTCTGGCTTTCTTTGCTGTTTCCAATTTCTTCTTTCCTCCTGTCTAGTTCTTTTTTACAGACAGCTTGGAGGCAAATAGGGAAAGCGTTAGTTAGAAGTAGAAAACTGAACTGTGAGGCTGTATTTCATACTTCCATCAGAAAAAGGCCACAAGGATAGGAGTCTGGTTTATTTATACAAACCTGAACTATGAGTTCTTTTGCCTCCTTGCTCTTGGTAGATGAAGTTCCTGTACAGTTTATGCTCAACAAGATGGATAACATTACTCCTGTATAGCTGAGTAAATGCACAGGGCCAGATCCTTGCCCGAACTCTCCCACAGGCTGCAGGAGAATTGCCTTAACCAGGCAGCTAGGGATTCCCCTTGCACAAAGAACATTCCAGTTGTCTAAAGCGGACACGGGCCACCCTGCAATACTTGCTTAATATATCGGTGGAAGAGTGTGCTTAGAGCTTATTCCTACTACAATGATTCCAGGCTGCACAAGTTACATTGACCACAAGACTACCCACCAGGTGCATTTCATGGATCTTCAGGTCTTGCAGATTTAGCAATATTGAGCAAAAAAAAAAAAAAAAAGGTTGTGTGTGAATTTTCTGTGCTCCAGCTGATATGCTTCTCATGACTTTCATATAGGACTTTTCAGTCCCAAACTAGAGATGTTCTGTCGCTTCTAACCAGACCTACCCACTGTGCTGATGTGCATCTAGGTTAATTATCATCCACAGATCCCATCCTATACTTTCTTTCAAGGAAGGCTGCAAAGAAAATTAGATAATAATTAGATTAGAAAATTAGATCAGACAGACATCCAAGTTCAAGGATAAACAAAGGCATTTAGCCATGGGCTTGTGCTGTTCATGGGGATGCTGGGGTTGCATATCCTGGAGCGATTGTGCCTCAGAAGCAGCACCCCTTCTCAAATGGCTCAATATGCAGGGGTACGGCTGGGCAATGCACTGTGCTTCTCTTGGTCTCATTCCAGTCCCCTTCTGCTCCTGGGCATCCCAGAGAACTCACTGCGAGATCTCACTGAAGTCCTCATGGGGACTGCAGGAACAGCAACTGCAACTGCAGCTGCATTGAATGGGGGAAGGAGCTCCCTCTTTATGCATGAGAGCCGTCACAATCCAAGCAATCCAGGGCAGGGGTACTTGCCTCATTTGTGAGTAAAGCACCACACCCATTTGCAGCAGTATGTGCATCAACCACCTTTCCATGGGGCAGCAAAAATGTGGTACCCTTTATTAACAATTCAGCATAAAGTGTCTAGGCCTCTTCCAGTAACCTGTTCAACGTATATATTCTTCATCATTATGTTTCTGCCTTGGATAGGCAGAGAAAGGAGATGCAGCTGGTATTAATCATTATTAGTGCATAAACTGTAGAGTAAAACTGAGGATAAAATAGTGTATGCATTAAACCGGCTTATAAATCTGAATTGAAGACATCTGAATTCCAGTGAGGAGGAAAAGGCTGGTTTGAAAGTAGTGATTAGCTGAAGTCAAAATACACTTTGTTCAATGGGATGGGAAAGAAAATCTGTTCTCGGTCATTGAAGCTATTCACAAAATTTTGCATCAACTACCACATTACCACTTAACTGGCTCGTGACTTGTAGCTTGGCTCACTCAATACTGCTGTCAGTGAAGGAGAAAATATAGCAACTGTTGGCTATGAAGGACCAACTCACAGGATCATAATGAATTCTAATTTATTGTATGGGATGTGAAGTTACCAATAAAATCATAAATACAAACTTTGAGTTATGGGGAATATTGGCCACCTTGACACACACTGACACATACAATTGCTGCAATAGTAGTGTAGCACCGATGTTGGTTTATACCTATCCGCAGTGCTGGAGTCTGTTGTCGGTGGCCAGCTTCCTCCAGGGCAATGTCCGGATCTCCAGAAGGGGGTCGCCTGCTTGTCCTTCTGTCTCGGTAAGTCGGGTGCTGGATGAGGGGGTGCCACTGAGGGTCACACTTCACTGCCTTTTATCCCTTTCTGGCAGACTTGTGTGATCCACCAGCATCATTTTAGCTGCCCAATCTGGAGGTTGTTGTCCCACATGGGTCTTGAATAGTGTGAGACAGCTGTTAGTTACAGTCACTGGGGGTTTTGCCCAATGGTGTAGTTTTGGGAGTCCACCCTTGACATGATTGATTCAATGGCTGTGTCCTTGCAGGTTTTAGATGGCTTGACTAGCTTAAAATGGCTTGTAGAGTTTTATGATGGTAAGTTCCTCTGGTTAGGCTATTGTCAATTAACAGCCAGAGGCTCTTGCTTTGTCACTCAGTTATCTGTTGACTCATACTCACATTCACTCAAGGGACCAGCCCAATACAGCAGATTTTATCACTTTACAATTACAATTTCAATGCAGTTTTGAACCATGGTCCAGGGGGTAACGTCATTCTACAGGGAGTACATTCCTTAAGGACTTAAAAGCATAAAATATAAAATACAAAATACCATAGCAAAGATGAGACAGATGAAATATAAAAATGCACTTAGAGAAATATATAAAAATGTAATGTGAGGTAGTGAAGATCAAAGGCTCCTGGGGACGGTAAGTGAGTTAGGTTAGCACCAGGACATATTTACAAACTTTGCAGTGGATATTTTAGTTCTTTTGTTTTCTTTAGTAACACTTAGCTCAATCGATATGTAGGTGTAGTTTGTAGGTTTCTGCTACAGAAAGCCACTTCAGCTTTCTGGCTTGCTCTGAGCCTTGCCACACCTGTGCAGTGAATGTGCTAGGTCTCTGCCAGTACTCAGAAGGAAAAAGAAATGCACAAAGTGGGAGGTGCAGGTAAGAAGGGGCTTCTTGTTACACAACCATGAAAGGGAAAAGAAGAAAAAAGCAGAACTGAGAACAGCATTTGTAAGCATCCTCTGGGCTCTGTGATGACGTGCACGTTGTTATTAGTTCCAGGGCTGAGTGTTGGGGGATGGATGTCAGGGGTGGATCCAGAGGGGGGCAGTGGCATGGTTGCATCTCCCTTTCAAGCTAGACTTTTTGCTGCTGGAGCTTGTGGGGATACTGAAAAAGTCTCCAAACGGGAAGAGAATCCCCCCCTTCCCCTTTGTGGTCAGAGGCATGTCCCCTTCCCTTCCTCTATCCCCTTCCTCTGCCATGGCTTTTCCTACTGTCCTGGGGGTGGGGGAATCTTCAGAACTCTTCCTGCCTGCTCCATCTGAGGTGTGTGGGAGCTGGGCTCATCTATGGCAGCCGCAGCAGTAGCAGCAACTTCCCTCACTTACTTCTGGGGAGGCCAGGCAGTGTGGGGAACCCACCCCCTTCCAATTCCTGCTTCCCCCATCCCAACACAGCCTGGCTCAAGTGGGCAGAAACACTCTGAAGCATCTCCTGCCCATGGGACAGGGGGGAGAACAGCAGCAAGTGGAGCTGAAACAAGCTGCAAGAGATCTAGACTAATTATTAGGGCTGTGTGAAACAACACCGTTCCATTTGGACTTACATTTTGACAGAACAGTGTTCTGTTTCGAATTTCATTTCATTTCGAAACTGCTGTTCCATTTTGTTTCATCAAAAGTTTCGCTGTTTCGATGCTGTTTCAACGTTTTGTCCGTAGGCTGTAATAGGGAAGCTCGAAACAGCCTATAACTTTGTCATTTCTGGCCTGATTTGGATGAAACTTCCAGGAGTGGTAGCCCCTTCTGAGGGCATGAAGCCTGCCATGTTTCAAGGAGATAGGTGGTGCAGGGGTTTCAGGGAAACTTCACCTCAAAGTCTTGAAAGCAAAAAACTCATGTCACGTGCATGTGTTAAGCCACAGCGGGGTCAAAACTGCAGGGATGCAGCGCCCCTGCTGAGGCCACAAAGCCTGCCAGCTTTCAAGGAGATAGGGGCCCTGCACCTCCAGCTGCTGACAGGCAAAACTTGTGACATGGGTGGGTGACACTGTGTATGTTAAGGTGCGCCCTCACTCAGCTATCACCAAGGCAGAAAGCAGGGCAGTTCAAGCAGTGCTGTCGAAATGTTTCGACTTGCCTCATTTCATTTCAAGGCTGTTTCGAAGCTCTCTGTTTTGTTTAGATTTCACTGTTTTGAGCTCAAAAACAAGTTGAAACAGCATAGAAACGAAACTGCGGGTGCAATTTTGCACAGCCCTACTAATTATAATCGTGAACATCCAGTATGTGACTCTTTAAAGTCTGTTTCTGTTACTGTATGTATGCTGCAATGTAAAATAAACAGAAGACTGAGCACCAGGAAGTTTCCTTTGAGAAAAATGGCATTTTAAATGATCTTTTGGTTTTAGAGCTTTTCAGCTCTACTCAAGTTTGAAAAGGCAACCTCATTGCTCTAGTACGTTCTCTGTATTGTTACGTTACACATTGTCTGAGTTTGAATGTTCCAGTAGGTCAAGACAGGCAATCTGGCTCTATATCTATATCTATATATCATTGACTTTGTCAGTTTAACTTAGCAGTTGCTAGAAACAAGGAGGTAGGTACAGTCCTATAAATTAACACACATGCAGTCTTTGCACATAAACTTGCCACAATTTCTTTTTGGCTTCTTAAATCTCTGCAACAGTAAGTGGCTTTCAGTTTGTAAAGTAGAGAACAACAGCCATGTGACCTCTGCAATGTTAAAAACTTTGCCGTTAAGACTGACGGCCAGCGCTGCCTCTGTTCCACTTGTTAAGGAAGCTTTGTTTTGCTAGACTGTACCAAATATAGTACAGCATAGCAGCTGCATGCCTCTAATTTAATAAAGACTTTGACTGATGTTAAATTCTTGGGTGAGTGGCTGTGGCCATTACTTTAAGATTACTGGAGACTCTTTTTTTCTCCCCCGAGCCTTTGAAACCTAAAAGACAAAAATTCCCCCTACCACTTTCAGCCCTTTAATCCCATCTTTCTTTTAAAAATATAAAAAAGGCGATATACTATATAGCCTTATGACTCCCAAAGGTTCAGACATATATAAAAAATATGTTCTATGTCTGTTACGACCATAACATCATGCATCTCGCTGTTAGAAAATAACTGACTCCTGTACTAAGTTCTGGATGTTGGCCCTGCAGAGCAGTTGGTGAAGGCATGTTTTCAGTTATTCAATTACTCAGAACAACTTTCTGCTGTTGCTCATTCAAAAATGTGGAAATTCATGTGTCAGAGTCTGTGCTGACAAAGCCCTTGCTTGAAAACATTAACTTTTTTTTTTAAATAACCAGTAAGATTCTGTGAAAAAAACACTATTGAGGGTTTTGTCTAAACTGTGCTTAGTTCAGCTCAGCACAGGGGCAAAACGCACCAAGTCAAGCCACCATCTGAGCTGGTTATCCACTGGCCATTGTGACTGAATAATCAGAGGTAGCCCATTGCCACACTACTCCCACCCAACACAACCACCTGCCACATGGTTGTAAGTAAGTCGCAGGTCATGCCGCCTTCTCTGCAATATCTGTACTGGGTACATTCCTTGTGGGCTATTTCTGTTGGGTTTATGGCCCTTTAAATTGTTAAAGGAATATAAACGGGCTAGGAAGGAAGAGAAAAATAGATTCCATCTGCCCTCTGGTAAGTATTTTGTACAGTTAAACCTTTTCTCTACTTCTGTCATTGTCACTTAAAAGTCATTAAAATCGTCACCCCCAGTCATCCACAGATCACCTAATGGCTTCTCTTTCAGGTAGTTCTGCTTGCTCAGATTTTCTTCTGCTGCTTTTTGTTGCTGGAAAATGTGTGAGCGCAGCTACTTACTGGCTTTTATGACAATAGGACTGTGATTGGACAATTAAAAACAAATGCCCATTAGTGGCGGGCAATTTCAACAATTTTTATATTCTTTAGAATTTGCTTGTGTACTGCAATGTTTAACAGCACATGCAGATTATTCCAAACAAAAATTAGTCCTCAGTTTGAATGCTTAATTAGCATGCTTCAGTATTTGGAGGGAGAGCCAAGATTAGGATATTTGAGAATAGTCACAATGTTGAGCGAAAAGAATAACTAGAATCATTTAGTATTAAAGAGGCTCATTAAATGCTTTACTGTAAGCATTAAGGGGAACACTAAAGAAGGTCTTTGTCATGCTGGAATGCATTTTTCTACTGTAACAGAACAGGAGGCAGCATGAAACCTCCTTCCTCCATTTCCCTCGCTGAATGGAATTAATTCCAAACCACTGGATTTTTAGGTTAGTATTTTTAAAAAGTCAATGTCACAAGGAAAACAAATTAACTTTTGCTAACTCATAGATTGATGTTCACCCACAAAATTAAATGCTAGAATACAAACAGCAGAGGAAATGTTGTTAGCATGATTTACTGAGCAAGGCACGAATCTATGAATACAATAACATATTGTTTACATACTCCAAGCATAAATCTAAGCCAGTTTACCATCAATACATGCAAATGTCTATAAAGTTGAAAATAATGCATTTTCAAAGTTAACTGCTTTGGCTAGTATTGACAATCCCTTGTGTTTTATTAATTGGACATATACAAGCATTATCCTTGTTGACTTTTCCTGGGAGCCTAAGTACTGCTTTCGGTATTCTGTATGTAAGGTTAATAATGTTTAAATACAAAAGTAAGCTTGGACTGAAGATCTTACGGTGTGACTCAGCCAAACACAATATACTAGAACCACAAAAAAGCCAAGACATATACTGTACAAGCAGGGCTTTGTCTTTATTCAAAAAATAGTATAAAAAAGCTTGACAGACTTTTCTTAACATAACCTGCTGTCCTTAACATAACCTTTGTTTTAGTTCATGTTAAGACCACATGTGGTGAATGGTTTGAATACACAACTTACCCTACCACAGATGACCTTGGTCATCTAACCTAGAGACTGCATCTCCATATGGAGAAGAAGATAGAGCCGCTTGGCTCCATTTGACCATTAGGTCCCAGTCCTTCAAATGTTTACACATAGGTGGTGCCACCAGAATCAATAGGGACACTCACATGCCTAAATATTTTAGAAGGTCATGGCTCTGCTGTCATTTAAAATTTTGGTTCCACATTGTTCCTCTCTAGCTTCTGTCTTGTAGTCCAGTGCTTGTAGTCCATCTATGGAGTCCAGTGCTTGACTTGACAGACTACTGAATGCTGTTCAGTTTGTTTGTTTGTTTGCCATAATATCCACAGGTTGCTCTTTTTAAAGGAAAGAGCCTCAATCCTCTCTTCTCCCCCTCCCCACCTTAAATACAGCAACAGTGTCCAAAACCATTCCAACTGTTCAACTGATTTACAGCTTCCCAAAGAAATTCAAATGAGAATGAAACTCTAGAGGCAAGGATTTTTATGGGTAGCATCTTTTATTGGACAAACTGTATATCACCTAATAAAATTATAGTAACATCTACTTTTAAGCGGGGTGGGGAATGGTATTACTTACAATATCAGGGTGATGAATTGAGTGTTTAATATATGAAAATAAATAGAAGGAAAAGACCCTTAGTGGGTAGAAATGATAGAAAACTATCTATAAACTCCAGTGGGTCCATTCCTTACAGCAGGACTAAATTGGCCTCCTTGTTTGCATGTACAACGGACAAGTGATGTTCCTTAAGCTCTTAAACACTGTATTTTCTGTTACTGGGGCAGGTTCTTCAATGCACATGGATCAACCTTGCTGCCAGGCTCTGTATGACTTTGAGCCAGAAAATGAAGGTGAACTTGGTTTTAAGGAAGGGGACATCATTACTTTAACCAATCAAATTGATGAAAACTGGTATGAAGGGATGTTAAATGGAGAGTCTGGCTTCTTCCCCATTAACTATGTTGAAGTGCTGGTATCCTTGCCTCAATGAACATGTCATCCAAGCTGTGAACATACTTTCATGACTGAAATGGATTCACAAATGTTCTATCAGTGTGGCATTCTGTGAAAGCCTTGCTCTTTGACTGACTTACTGACTTTTGTATGCGTGTTTTTTTTAAATGTATTTATTTTGTATTCAAGAACATTACCTTCCTTGGTTACATGAAAATGCAAAAAAACCCTAGACTCAGTTTTTTTGCTTTGTGCCTTGAAGATCACTGTATGAAGTGTTCATTGGTAGCTCACTGTTGCTCCAACAATGCATTTCTTTGCTCCTTACTGTATGTAGATCCTTTTATTATTATTATTTTAAAAATTCCTTGGGCTGCAATGATTTTACCATTGAAAACCATTTTTAAGAATACTGTGAGTGAAGCTAACTGTAACCAGTTCCTAAGAGTTACTGATGTCATTGAGCCTTTTTCATCCATCACAATGTAACTTAATTGTGAACTTAATCCATGTTTCACATTGTATGTTGACAAAAGGCGAAGTGGTTGTTGTCAGTTTTAAGACATTGTTGTACTAAGTACAAGGTCTGAGTTGCAAATTCCTAAAATTTACTGACCAAACTTAATAAACATTACTGTGGGAGAAACACGACTGCTGCAGATGCTTACCCAGTGGTTGGTATGGTTTTGTCTTCTGCAAACGTTCACTTTCCTTCATGGATACACTAATGTCTTGAGGAGGAGGAGCTAGTTCATCTTTTTAAGTGATGTTATTGGGAGCAGTTCTGCAACTCTGCAGGTGCTAAAATTGTTCATTTTGGTTGCTCTTTATTTACTGAAGATCATTCTTAACACTTGTTTACATTTTGTTTTATTTTGAGAGCAGGACAGCAGCACTTCTATGTATACCCATATGACCTAAGGACAAACTGTTGCTAGAAAGACAGAGTCTGAATTTGATGCCACTATAGAAGAGGTAACACTCCATTGAGATGAATGGAAGAGTAATTGGATACTCTCTAGCTGATAATTGAAAGGGTAATGCTGACTCACTTTTTTGTGGAGCAGAAGTAGAGAAGATGACAATCTATGCAGCAGAAAAAGACAAATATTTGTATAGTCAAGACTGCCCAGATCGGGAAAGGGTCATGGACAGAGACTCAGGCTACTTAGGAGATAAAATAGGCAGTACCTTCATTTTAGAAATACCTGTTATCATTAACCATGTAGCACTGGCCAAAAAAAGTCCAGAAAGCCCAGAGGAAAGCAAGTGAACTTTGTCCAAAATACCTTAAGGCAAGTAGTGAGCAAAGCAAAGCTCCTGGCCTTCTGATTTTGAAGAAACAACTCAGAGCCTGAGGCTGCCTGGCTTAAGCCTGCAGCCATCAAAGGAAGATAGATCAGAGTGATATGCCAGGGCAATCAACTCTAGGAGTGCAACAGCTTTCACATGAAACAGCCCAGACCTGTGCATAGTATAAGTAGACATCAGTAAGACTGCCCGAGTTGCTCAGTACAGGGTTGGTGAAAGAAGCCCTTATCCCTAGGGGTGAGCTGTGATTCACCAGAGTGTCCTTGTCAGCTCACCCTCTTTCAAACAGTAAGGCTGTTGAAAGCATCACAAGGGAGAAAAAAGGCAATCCTCTGGGCAAGGTACAAGCCAGACCCACAGAGACATTTTCCAACATAAAGTGTTAGACCACCTATACCCAGGAAGTCAATGAAAGTCCAAGCTTTGAGATGTCAGAGACTTGCTTCATCCACTATGATAACCTGCTTTCAGCTTGAACTGTGAGTAATGGGATATTTCACTTAGCTAAGTAAGAGCTCTAGCTAGTGATGCAGTTAGATGCAGTGTACCCAGTGGTATGTGCAGGATTATAATAGACAATATTATATCTGTATCCTCCTTGTTTTATAGTTCAGGCAATACTCTAGATCTCCGTCAGAAGGATGGTATGCACTGACCAGCTACAGTAAACTTTAAGATTAGGGCCAACTGCTTTTTATTTGGATGGACGATTGCTATCCAGTCAGAGCAGGATGTTAAACATATGGCACACAGAGCTGCTCTAGCCACTGCTATCAGAAGTTGGAGGAGTTGCCTTCTGCAGAATTCAGCACCCTTGGATCCCAGTGGATGTGGTGATCACCAGCACGAAGACAAGCAAGGGCTGATCCAGCCTTGGCTGCCATCCAACTATTTTGCCCATTGCCACAGTTACCCCACTGCCTAGCTGCCAAGTGTCCCATACTAGAGCCAGAGGCAGAGCTAGTACCCTAGCACAGGGACGACAGTGGCAGTAGCAGCTTCACATCCAGCATGGGGCATGCAGTGAGAACGGGGGCTGCTGCCACTGCTGCATACCCTGGGCTGGAGCTGGCCCAGGGCACAAGGCAGATCTGACAGTCCCAAGTTAGAGAAACTGAAGGTGGGACTCTGAATTTCTCTGTAGGGTTAGTCTGTTCCTATATCTGCTTGTCTTAGTTCTACTTTTAATTCCTTCCTCCCTCCTTCCCCATACTATTTCCTCCCTGCCTCTTTTCCCCCTTCATTTGCCTTTGATTTGTTGTCTCCTAGAAGCTGCATATTAGTTTACTCACCCAAGCAGTAGGTAAAATAGTGTGTAGACCAAGAATACCATCTAACCCTAGCAGTCTAAGGCCTAGAGCATAACTAAGAGGTGGCAAACAATGAGGAGCAGGTAGGACTGCTCTATCTGGGTAAGAAGCAACTACAGTTTGGAAGAGACTTAGGAAAAAACAACCACCACCTCTTTCCCACAAGGTGAGAATTTAGGTAGACACAGCAATAGAAGTTATTGGTACAAAAATAAATTATTGCCATTTATCAGCTTGAACAACGTAAATGAAGATAATAGGATTCAGAGTCCTAAAATAGTCTTTGTTAATTTACATACTAGAACCAACCCTAGAGGTTATAGTCTGCATCTTCCCAGAGATGTGAGCTTAGCTGGTGGTGCTGGTAATCAGTTCAGTTACAGTCTACAAAAGACTACATTTAGGATTTTTCTAAATGCAAAATCTTTCTGAAGAAACATTTGACTGATCTAATAAAGTTTGGGATGTTTGCGTTTGTGAAATTAAAGATTTTATTGGTGTTCTGCTTTGCATTAGCATAATGCAGAGAGAAATTGTGGATCAGGATTGTTTTGACGGTTTATGTATGCTGTTTAAAGGCTAACAAAAGCCCTATGATAAAGTACACAACGTTAAGTTGTAGTTTTGGATTGCTTATGATTATATATAAATATACAAATACATTTCATCTAAACATTGTGCTGGATCACACTTATCCAATGTGACACTGTTGGAGTTGTAGAAAAACTTCTCTATGTAGATTAAGTTGATTGCAATTCAGCTTTATTCAGAAAGTTTAGGGAACGTGAGCCATGTGCAACAGATTGTATAGCAGCTTACTCTGTTGTTGAAGACTTCTTCCATCTGCTCTTTACAGGGAGGGAGACTTTCCCTAGCTCTTCAGCTGCATCCCTTCAATCCTCCTAGCCAAGTTAGGATGTACAGATAATACAGATGTTCCAAAGTGGTTTGCTGAACATTAAAGCCCAAGAGTGATAGTATACATGGAAAATATCTTTAATAGTAAAAAATTTAACAGACCAAAATAATAAACATAGTAAGATTATAAACAGAACCCATTTTAAAGTGACAAGGTGCAATGAAGCAAAGGATTTGGATTTGCTAAAATATGCAAAGCCAAGGTGTCAAAAGATTTAAAATCCACGTAGGGTTTTTTTTAAACTAGCTTATCAAAGGGAACGCTAAAGCAGTCAAAGAAGAGCTTTACATTAAAAGCCATATCCTAACATGGAACAGATCTTGAATTCAAACATACTATATAGCAAAGATTTTGGCAAGGCAACAAAGAAGTCTGAAAGCTGTTCCAGTGGGCTGCATCATCCACTTTTTTTTTTTTTTAAAAGAGGGAGAGATCAGGAAAGCAGACTTCAGCGTTGGTTAAGCAGCCCTGCAGGAGTCCTTGTTTTTCCACACCACAACATAGCCAAGTAAGCCTCTCAGTAACAGAAAAAGCTAGAGCTCCACTGTAGCAGTTACCCAGGGCCTCTCCTGCCATGCCCCTGAAGTTAACTGTACGTTGTCATGCTACTATATATTAATCTGTTAAATGTCACAGTTTCCTAACCTTTTGCCAAAAGGGAAGTGCCCTTCAACCCAGTCAAGTATACACCATGGCAATGTAAACCCAACACTACTACCACATTCTTCTTTATACTTTGTACAGTTAGTAGAGGAGCACTTTAAAGGGAGCCCTCTGACTCTGGCTGTACAGAACTGTCCAGTGCCTTTAGTTCCATTCCCCTTAAAAACCTGATTACTTGGCAGTGTTAGAACATAATATTGCTGTGTATATAGTATTGCTGAGTAGCTTTTAGGTTGGCAGAGGGTTCCTTTGCTCATTTATGTAAACCCAGGTATCCAACCCACATTTCCAAACACAGTGTTGACAGAAGCTATGTAATGGTGTACAAGTTTAGTAAAACTCAATAAATAAGTTTATAGATTGCCAGGCAGTAGGATATAGTAACAGTATATTATACTTTAACTACAAGTTAAAAAGAACAGTTTATAAATAGCTTCCCGATTTTAAAACTTCACATACACTAGTAGATAATTCTAACAATTGGCTTAGATTTGTTGCCTGTACGTGATGAGCGACTCCAAGGAAGTTCTATTTCAATGACTAAGAACTCCCAACAATAACATTTTGCCTTACCCTGACTTCAGTGAAGTTGTCCAAAGTGCAAGTCAGGGCAGAATTTGACTCACTTTAGTCATACTTGAAACAATATTATTTCTTCAAAGGCTGCTTTGAGAAAGAACTTTTAAAGAAGCAAGATAAAGAATGGTCAATGATCACAAATATAAAGGGTTGTTAAGGTAAAGACAGCTGGCAAAAATTACATGAATTGTATACACCTGTCCTTTGTAACAAGTTGTGGGTGGATAGTTCACAGAACTTCTCATTTTTAAAAACCCTTTTTCTTCATAAAGGAAGTCTGCTCTAGTTTATACTGTTACATCCAAAATAGAGTAAAATAATATCAACTGACAAAGTTTCACATTCTGGAGGGCCTCTCTCAAATAGGTAAAGGGGAGGACAGGGGAAAAGTCTGAGGATCGTAGATTCCAGAAGTTGCTGAAGTTCAGGAGCATTTTAGATGGTCACCACCTTGGTTTAGTTACATGACAGAACAGCTAGGATCTTCATTTTGCTGAAGACACTATAAAGAGATATTAAATAGCATAATGAATTACTGGTTTCATATACTTGAACTTAATTTCAAATCAGACAGAAGCTGGGTGTGGGTGTGCATGTGCACACACCATGCTCTCGCTCTCTCTCTCACACTCTCAAGGGTTTAGTTGCTTTTACCTACTAAAATCTATTTAGTTCTGTTCTACAGAAGTTCTGAATTATAAATACAGAAATTTAAATCCTTTAATAATAGCATTAAGCTGGAGTGTAGTGGATGGCTACCAAACCATCAACTGCTCAAAATAAAACCAAGTAGTTTTAAATGATCAAACTTGACTTGCATGTCAAATCACGCTTTAGGATAAATTTAGGACGTGGACAGATACATAATTAAAATGTTTCAAAGCATTTCAAAGCCCAGATGGACAAGTGTATATGTTCTTTGAAATGTTTCAAAGGTGGCCAAAATGCTCCAAAATAGTATCTCTTGAAACAATCTGCTATTTCTAAACACTTGATCTTCTCAGCATATGTGCACGAGTACAGGAGGCCCAAGTCCTCCAAAATCCCACAGACTGCCCCTGCCAGGCCCCTAGCACTAGGAGCTTTCATTGCATGCTGCAACCCCAGCTCCCACTGGAGCTTCTAATGCAGCATTTTTCAACCTACAGTTCTCAACCCAAAAATAGGTCAGAAGAATACATTAAATGGTTGCAAGCAAACTTTAAAAATGGATTCTCTTTTAAAAGGAGACAAACCATGAGAAACTGACTGTGGCTTTTCCTTTGCAGGCTGTCAGAGTTCCAGCCTGCAAGGGGCTGCTTGGGGCCTCCTAGTCCCGTGTCCTGTTCCCCACCCTCCCACCGTGCACACTGTGGGGCTGGGTCAGGACTGGCCATCAATGTTTCCAAATGGGTCCTGGTATAAAAAATGTTGAGAACCATTATCTAGTGTATCCCCCTCCACCCCACCATGGCAGAGGTAGAAACAGAGGGGATGGAGAGGGGAAAACTAAGACAGTGCTTTGTCATCAAGCCTAGCTCATGGGGTTTGTTGACACTATTGCAGTGCATAAGTTTACAGTTTTCTTTATCATCATCTTTATGGCTTAAGCCAGGCGTTTTTAGCCTAACTGGGAGGGGAGATGTGTGGCAGCAGTGGCCACCATATTCGAGCTTTCCCACCCCTACTCCTTGCTGGTGGCAGCACTCTGTCCCTGCCCACCCGCACGTACCCCCTAGGGTCCAAGTACCCCCAGGGTTACATGTACCCCCGGCTGACATCCCCTGGCTTAAGCTGTTGTCAGTTCAAACATGTCCTTATGCACCTCTGGCATGTTGGTACATGACAGAGTTGGCGGGGGGGGGGCTGGGGGGGGGAGAATCTCAGTTGGAAAGGAGAAACCACATGAAGCTCTCAGAGGCTCGGAAAGGTGTTATGTTATTAAACACGAGCATGGTTTCACAATATAGTAAAGCTACTAAAACAGCTTAATAAGCAAGTTGTTCTAATGTACTAGAGTCCTAAAAAAGGAGAAAGAGGAGTTATGATAGGAGAAACATGGGAAGAGAGAGGCACAAAGAAATATTTTGTCAAATGATAGAATAGGTAACCCTGAATGAACTGAAGTGTTGAGAAACCTGAGAATGTTGTTGCGCTTAACGTGACAAAACTGATAGTTTAGCCACTAAACTGTGGTATTCTTAAATGCATAAGGATAACCTAAAGAAGCCCCGCACCTCTTGACAAAACAGCCTTGGAGGATCAGAATAATCTTACACAACTCCATTTGATACCGAGTCTAGGAAGCAGTGGCCATCATGCTACTTTCAACTTATTAATATTATGAAGCAAACTCATGCTCACTGGCTATATGCTATATGATAGCAAGACACACCTAAGAGCACTCTGGAATTCTTTCAGATGAAATGTTTAAAGGATATTAAAAAATACACTTAAAATACTGTTGTCATTGGCAGGGATCTTGGTCCTCTCTGTTTAAAAAACAAAACAAAAGAGAAAAAAAACCAACCAAACCACAACGTGCAAATTCTCCGTTTAAAAAATGCAAAACCCATGGTTTTTCTGTGATTAAAATGAAGTGACATTACATAGGTATCAGTTGAACACAATTTTATTGATATATTTACAATTTTAAAGCGATTTGGAAGTCTATTCTAGTGATTGAGGCACAGGTAAAATAAATTCTAAATACCCATAAATGTTGGCGTTTGATTTTGGGGGTTTGTTTGTTTGTTTCTAAATCATACAAAAATAAGAGTTCCCCCTGCCCCCTTTGCTCAACAAAATACGGGTCCAGCTGCAGCTATCCCCCACCACTGCTTTGTGGCACTGAGCAACTCCGGTATGCTGGTGCCCTACCCATGCCCTTGCCCCTCACTCCCCACCCACAGCCCCCCTGCCCATGCTGGTACCCCTCACTCTCCACCCACAGTCCCCCTATTCCTCCCAGCTCTGCCAGAGGGGGCCCTCTGTTGCCAGGGCTACAGGGCCAGGGACCCCTGCTCCCTGCAGAAACACCCGAGCCCCAGCTACCACCTGCAGGAGGCGGTGGCCACTGTGGTGGAGTGGAGTACAGAGCCCGGTTCCCCGCCCACTCCCGCAGGCGTGGGCTGCCTGCTGTAGGCTCAGGCTCCCTACCTTGCTGCCCTCCCCTGGGGACTCTGTAGCCCAGCAGCAAGACCCAGCATGACAGGGTAGAGTGGGGCTGGGTAGAGAAGGTAATTGTTGCTGCCGAGAGAGCTCCACACTGCCCTGGCAAGACTCCCCTGCCCAC